AATATAAAGGCTAGTGATTCACATGATTCTCTCAATTAATTTTTCTTACATCATCATCATTTCATATATCATTGCATATCATTTATTTGAACATCATGCTTATTGCCATCCTTGTGACACTTATAATAAATTTAAAATCAGTTTTGAAATAAAGTTAAGGATGACAATTTGCATAATTTCTTGCATCATTACATTGTCATGTGGAGCATTACCCTTTTAAGTATCAATTTATATTTATCAAAAAATAAAATTCAAAAGATCTTAAAAAAAGTAATGATTCATATTGTTCTCGCATTATCATGGTCATCACATATTTGTCTTATTAATGTAAAAGCCTAGTGGATTATTGATTCATTTAGAATTTATGTTGATTCTTATATAGATGTTTATCTGTTTAGAATCAATATTAATCCTTATGGCTACTAGGATCCTATGTTAATGAAACAAATACAAAATTTGAAATAATTTTTCATTATTTCCTTTTTATTTATAGGTTGAGAATCACAAAGTTGTTTGAGTATTCAAGAAAATAGAAATTCATGTGGGATCAAGTAGCAGCGATGTGAAATCAGTTGAGTTGAGAAAAAAATTTCATCTGAGAGTTAAAATGGCTGACACTGCTAGTCTGAGAGAGTTAGGAAAGAAGCTAAAGATGGTCCAACAACTCATTTTAGTGAGGAGGTATGGAAATATTCTGAGGTTAATGGAAGTGAATGTGCAGGAATATGCTTTAACAGCCCTAGCCTAGTATTATGATTCCCCATTGAGGTGCTTCACTTTTTAGGATTTTCAATTGGCTCCGACCTTAGAGGAATTTGAGCAAATTCTAGACTTGCCATTGGAGGGTCAACAACCATATTGCCCTATGGAACATCATGCATATTTTGGCAGAAAAAGAAGATTGGGACACTTTCATAGATGTTTTAGCACTCACCATTTATGGCATCGTCCTCTTCCCTAAACATGACAACTTTGTTGATTTAGCAGCAATAGATGTATTTCTTGCATGCAAAAATTGATTTGAAAATCCTGTCCCTGCAATACTAGCTAATATTTATTGTACATTAAGTTTCTACCATGAAAGGAAAGGAAAGAGGATTATATGTTGTCTACCTATGCTTTATATATGGCACACAGCTCATGTTTTTAAAAGGCCAAGTGAAATCAAGTGTTCAATCACTGATTTGCTGAGGTTTCAGATCGGGCAGAAAAATGGTCAAAAGTGGGCTAATCACTTAGCTAGTTTGAATGAAGGACGCATCAGATGGCACACTCCATTGCAACAGTTGACAACCGTTGTTTATCACTGTGGCAATTTTCTAAATGTTCCTCTTATGGGTACTCGGGGTTGTATAAATTACAATCCAATTATGGGACAACGTCAACTCGCTTATCCTATGATGGGACCACCTGCTGAGGAATTGTTGGTTACATTTGTTGTCTATTATGAAGATGGAAATTTCCCTGACCGTATCCAAAAGGCAAGAAATGCTTGGGCGAGGGTTGTTCGAAAAGAGAAAGAGCTAGGCGTGAGAAGTTATGCAGCAAAAGCAAGTTACTGTCAATGGGTTAAAGAGAGAGTCCAAGAGATTAAGTTACCATTCAAAGATCCAAGTACCTCCCAAGAAAGTGAGTCATCTAATCCAGAACTCTTTGAGAATGAAGAAGTAAAAGAATTAAAGGCAAGACTGACTAAGATGATTGAGAAGAATGTGATGCCAAAAGTAACATTGTCAAAATTACCTTGTGATGAGTCGCATATGAAACCCAGTACCATAATAGTAAGAGCCTTTGATGGAACAAGGAGAGAAGTCATTGGAGAAATTGAGATTCTAATTCAAATTGGTCCTTGCACCTTTCAGATTTTGTTTCAAGTAATGGACATCGCACCAGCTTACAGCTGTCTTTTGGGGAGGCCTTGGATTCATTCTGTTGGAGTTGTACGATCCACATTGCATCAGAAACTGAAGTTTATCACTGATAATAAGTTGGTGATTGTCTCTGGTGAAGAAGATGTGTTGGTGAGTAAGTCTTTGTCCATTCCTTACATTGAAGCTGCTGAAGAAGCTCTAGAGACCTCTTTTCAGGCTTTAGAGATTGCAAATGCTACTTATGTTGGAGAGGGAGCCCTAATCGTAAAGCCTCAATTGTCTAATACATCCATAATGACTGCTAAAGTCATGCTTGATGGAGGTTGTCAGTATGGATATGTGTTAGGACAAACCATCATGAAAGCAGCAAATTGGTTACAGCTTCATAAGAATAAGGATAGATTTGGGTTGGGATACACGTCCACTAAAGCTAATAAGAGGAGAGTCATGGAGGAAAAGAAAGAAAGAAGATTAGTCAGGTTGGAAGGTAAGGAGCCTAAGACTGAAGGAGTCCCCATTTATGATCTTCTAAAAAGCTTTTACAATGCTGGATTTGAGTTTCAAGACTCAGTGGCTGCTGCTGATGAAGATGTACATGGAGAAGAGGTTGTGAACCTAGTTCGCACTTGTCCGCTGAACACATAAGTTGGCAATTGGGAGATCATCGAACTTCCTATGATTTTTAATGCCTACTCAAAGTAATCATTCAAGCTAATCTTATTGTTTTGTCTCAAAGCTTTAGAATATTATTACTTTTTGAAAAAACTAATATATGGTTTCTTTTTGCAATTTAAAATATCAGTTTGTTTTGTAAGTTGGGACACATGTTTCCTTTTAAGTATATTTAGCAAATGAAATACAATTCAAATTCTCAGCAACCTTTTGTGTCTTCTTTCTTTATTGCTTGAATCTTATCGTTTATTTTCTTTTTGTCTCAACTCTCACACAATGCAGATCCAACAGTGACATGACTGAAAGTAACAGTGCTAATATCTCATCCACTAATTTTGATTGTCCCATTAATCAAGCTGTTGAAGATGATAGTGATGTTGATTTACCCTCAGAATTTCTAAGATTGGTCGATCAAGAAGTGAAAAAGATCCAACCTCATGATGAACGCTATAACATCCTATGCTTTGTGTCATGCCTATAGTATATCATTGAGAAAAATCTGTAGTACTTTGTGAGCAGAAAGAAACCGTGTATGTACAGTAGCCCCTGATGTCAACAATGATATCATGCTGATGTCATTGGCGACATCACGCTAATGTCATTGGCGACATCACGCTGATGTCATCGGTGACATCACGCCGACATCATCGCTTGCATCATACTGACATCATCGCCTACATCACATTGACGCTGACATCTTCAAAAAAATTTCTATAAATAGGGGGCTTCACATAAAATTTTCACTTCTTCACTCCTACCCAAGGTTCTAAGGTCATATCTCGCCATTTTCTCACATACTAAACCTCCTAAACTTAGATTTCTCTTCAGATCTGTGATTCTACGTCCGTTCTAAAGCATTTTAAGTAAGTTTCTCTAAGTTTGAAGTTAGATTTACTGTTCGTTTCTCTTCTTCTTCTTTTTCTTATAAATGTTCATGATGTTCTTAGGAAAAACTTCGTTCTAAAGTTAAATCTTTGGTTAAATCCTTGTAAAAGCTCTGTTTTGAGGTAAGGGCACTCTACTTTATCATTTTGTTATGTTTATTACTTGTATTCTCATAGATCTTGTCATGTATGTGATTATATGTGGAATAATCCTTGTTTTATGAAAAATAATCAGTGAAAAGTGAGAATAATTGGCTGTTTATGTGATTTATGATGAATACATGGTGAAAATGTGATATTATGTCCAAATAAGGCATGGTAAGGTATATTGAGGATGGTTGATATGATTTTGTGATATGAAATATACAAAGAGATGGATGTTTCATGTTTGAATATATTGTTTCATGTAAAAATGATGTGTATTGTTAATATGCCATGGTTTGATGTATATGATGAAAAGTATGTGGAAATATGATGAAAAATATGTGTGAACATGAGAAATGGCATATGTGAACATGTGAATATACTCGAAAGAGTATGAGATGGAAAAAGATATGATGTAAATAGTTACAGAGATACACTGGGGAGTGAAAGATGGAGACGATATGGGATATCTTGAGGAAATGCAAGGTGGTAAGTGACATTTGGGATTGTGCACGGAATATTGTGTTCGAATGCACCACATGGCCACACACTCGTTTCCTGACTTGACTCCTAACCATTACTTTTTTCTAAGGGGCCGTCTATTGCATGCGTTGTATCCGTATTGCATTGGGCCATCCGGCGACTATTTACATGGATGTGTAAGACCTCGAGATAGAGGCATCGGATAACTATGGCCACAGGGCGCGGTAAGCGCGGATAAAAGTAAAAAAAATTGTGAATCTGTGTAATGTAATACGCGTTGAGATGAGAATATGCTTTATATGACACTGTGATATGTAATGCCATGATGTTTTCTTTAATCGTGATAAGATGTGTTTTGTGAAGAATGTATATGGTATGTATGAGTAGTAGGGTAGAAACTCACCCTTACACAATATTTTTCAGGAAACCAGGATGAATAGTATCAGGCGCACAATGCATGGATGGATGAGAACTGCTATAGGACTTAGTTATTTTGAGTTATGTAATGAATATTTTCAGTTTTATATAGCATTCTTTTGAACAATTGTAAAACTACTATTTCTTTTTATTGCTGATGAAAATTCTAGAATCTTTGTTTTTCTAAAGTACTTATGAATTAATGAAATTTTACTCTATGAACCTTATATTATTTCAATGTCTCTTTCTTATTAGAGAGTTTTGAAAGAAAATTTACTTTACCATTTAAATTTTTATGAAAATTTATCATATATTGAGGAAAGAAATATAAGGCGTTACAATTTTGGTATCAGAGCAGTTCATCCAGACCAGACTGGGGTATGGGACTAACATGTCTGTGTTGTCTAATAGATATACTAGAATATGAAATGATTATTTGCTAATATGACTTGTTAGATGTCAATTACGTGAACTAGGTCTATCTATGATAGATTAATAAGTGATTTGAGTTTATTGCATGATTAGAGCTATGGCTGGTAGAGGTAGACCTGTCGGTGCTACAAATGAACTCCTGGAGCGCATGACCCAAGTCTTAGAGACTTTGGCACATAACCAGGAGGCTGAACCAGCCGAGTATAGAGGACTTTCTTCTTTTACTAGGCATAACCCTCCAAAATTTAAGGGAAAGTTTGATCCTGAGGGAGTTCAGAGGTGGATAGCAGACATGGAGAAGATTTTCCATGCCATGGGATATAGAGAGGAGCATAAAGTAACTTATGCTACTTATATGCTGAGTGGAGAAGCTGAGAACTGGTGGAGATTTGCTAGTCAAACTCTACTGCAAGAAGATGATTATATTCCTTGGGAGACATTCAAGGCAACCTTCCTAGGAAATTATTTCCTTAGAGATTTAAAGAAACAGAAGGCTAGGGAGTTCCTTGAGTTGAAACAAGGAAACATGTTTGTAGGTGAATATGCTGCTAAATTTCATGAATTGATGAAATACTGGTCTCACTATCAACATAATGATGGAGAGGAAGATCTATGTGCTCAATTTGAACATTGGCTTAGGCCAAATATTCGAGCTGCTGTTAGTGTATTCCAGCTGACAGATTTACCCACTCTAGTGAGTAAATGCAGAATATTTGAAGCCAATACTAAGGGTAAGATGGTGGATACCAGAATCGGTGGTCCTGTGAGGCAAGACCGAATGCCTCCAAGATTTTCTAGAGGACCTTACTCTAGTCCAAATCAGTCTCAAGTGAAGGGGACTGTATCTCAAGAAGATAGTAGTGGTGGTTCAGGTTCTTTCAGAAGGCCACTAAAATGTTTCAAGTGTGGTGAACCTCACATTAAAAAGAATTGTCCTCAACTTCCACCAACATGTGACATTTGTGGGAAAATGGGACACTCTGCAGTGTCTGTTGGTCTGCTCCACAAAAGAGCGGAAGCATGAGTGTGGAACAAAGACCTGAATCTAGAGCAAGCACTGGAACAAAGCCAAATGTGAAAGGCAAAGTTTTTGCTATGAGTGGAGTCGAGACTTCAAAATCAAAGGAGCTTATTAGAGGTAAAGGTATCATAAAAGATCGACTTGTAGATGTGTTGTTTGATTCTGGTGCTACTCATTCCTTTATTTCTGTGGATTGTATGAGATATCTAGAATTACCTGTATTTGAATTGGCTTGTGATGTTATTGTATCTACTCCTACGGGTAAGCCCGTAACAACTTCTTCTGTGTCTTTAGGTTGTCCTGTGATGGTACATGGTAGGAGTTTTAGTATAGATTTGATTTGTTTACCTCTCTCCCAACTTGATGTAATTTTGGGAATGGATTGGTTGTCATCCAACCATGTTCTATTGGATTGTAAAGAGAAAGTCTTGATTTTTGGCACTAAAGTATCAGAAAGTGCTAAACTCTTAGGTCCAGATCCATTGGAAAATGTAATGAGTGCTAAGGCTTTCATAGTTCTATTTTCAATTGAGAATGAAAAGGAAATGAAGCCTGAGTATATCTCAGTGGTTAGAGATTTTTTAGAAGTTTTCCCTGATGATGTTACTAAATTGCCACCGGAAAGAGAGATTAAGTTTACTATTGATCTCATTCTGGGAGCAAATCCTATTTCTGTTGCACCATATAGGATGTCACCAATGGAGTTGGCTGAGGTAAAGAAACAGGTAGAAGAATTATTGCAGAAAAGGTTTATAAGGCCAAGTGTGTCACCTTGGGGAGCACCTGTTCTTTTGGTGAAAAAAAAAAGATGGGAGCATGAGGATGTGTGTTGATTATAGACAATTGAATAAGGTAACAATAAAGAACAAGTATCCTATTCCTAGAATTGATGACTTGATGGATCAGTTACGAGAAGCTTCCATATTTTCAAAGATTGATTTGCGATCTGGTTATCATTAGATCAGAGTTAAGAGTGAGGATATCCCCAAGACAACGTTTAGAACCCGCTATAGCCACTATGAGTATCTAGTTATGCCATTTGGTGTGACTAATGCTTCTGCAGTATTCATGGACTACATGAATAGAATTTTTCATGAGTTTTTGGATAAATTTGTTGTAGTATTTATAGATAATATTCTAATTTATTCCAAGACTCATGAAGAATATGCAGAACACTTGAGATTTGTTTTGCAGATACTAAGAGAAAGACAGTTGTATGCAAAATTCTCTAAGTGTGAATTTTGGTTACCACAAATCCAATTTTTGGGACATGTGGTATCAAAAGATGGCATTATGGTGGATCCAGTAAAGGTGGAGGCAGTGGCTCAATGGCCAAGGCCTACTAATCCCACAGAAATTCGCAGTTTTCTGGGACTAGCTGGCTATTATAGGAAATTCATTGAAGGATTTTCTAAAATAGATTTTCATTTGACGAAGTTAACAAGAAAAGGAAAAGAGTTTGTGTGGAATGAAGAGTGTGAAGCTAGTTTCCAAAAGTTGAAAGAAAAGTTAACATCTGACCCTGTCTTAGTTTTTCCTAATCCAGAACAGAAGTTTGATGTGTATTGTGATGCATCTGGGCAAGGGCTTGGTTGTGTCTTGATGCAGGATGAAAGGGTAGTTGCTTATGCTTCGAGGCAGTTGCGTCCTCATGAAGTTAATTATCCTACTTATGACCTAGAATTAGCCGCAGTGGTTTTTGCTCTTAAGATATGGAGACATTATCTATTTGGGGCGAGATTTGAGGTATTTAGTAATCACAAGAGTTTGAAGTACTTGTTTGATCAGAAAGAGTTAAATATAAGGCAGAGAAGGTGGATGGAATTTCTGAAGGATTATGATTTTACATTGTCTTATCATCCTGGGAAGGCAAATGTGGTTACTGATGCTTCAAGTAGGAAGTCCTTGCATATGGCAAGTATGATGGTGAAAGAATTAGAGTTGATTGAAAAGTTCCAAGATATGAATTTAGCAGTAGAGGTGCGACCTCAGAGTTTGTATCTTGGGACTTTGATAATTAACAATGATTTCTTGGTTAGGGTTCGTGATGCCCAACAAGAAGATATGTTCTTGCAGGAAATGATGAGGCAGAGGGGTGAAGGAAAGGATTTGGAGTTCCATTGTGATGCAAATGGATTGATTAAGTTTAAGAACCGTGTATGTATTCCTTCCAATGATGAGCTTAAGCAGATGATACTTGAGGAGGCTCATAAAAGCAGAATGAGTTTTCATCCTAGTATGGCAAAAATGTATCAAGATCTTCGTAAGAATTTTTGGTGGAATAGAATGAAGAAGGATGTGGCTGAGTATGTAGCAAAGTGTTTAACTTGTCAAAAGGCAAAGGTAGAACATCAACGTTCACCTGCGATGTTGCAGCCATTAGAAATTCCTGAGTGGAAGTGGGATAGTATTTCTATGGATTTTGTGTCTGGTTTGCCAAGAACTAAGAGTAATCATGATGCAATTTGGGTGATAGTAGATAGATTGACTAAAGCAGCTCATTTTCTTTCCATTAATATGAAGTACAAGTTAGAGAAGCTAGCAGATATGTATGTGAGAGAGATAGTCAGATTGCATGGAGTGCCAACCAGTGTTGTGTTAGAGAGAGATCCAAGGTTTACATCAAGATTTTGGGAGAGTCTGCAGAAAGCCTTGGGTACTAAGTTAAAACTTAGTTCAGCTTATCATCCACAAATTGATGGTCAGACTGAAAGAACAATACAGTCCTTGGAGGATTTGTTGAGAGCTTGTGTGATGGAACAACAAGGAACTTAGGAGGAATGTCTACCTTTGGTGGAATTCACGTATAATAACAATTATCATGCAAGCATTGGAATGGCTCCATTTGAGGCTCTGTATGGAAGGAAGTGTAGAACACCTTTATGTTGGTATGAAACTGGAGAGGCGATCCTATATGCACCAGATATAGTTTAGAAGCAACATGAGCAAATCAAATTGATCAAAGAAAAGATGAAAATAGCACAAGATAGGCAAAGGAGTTACTATGATAAGAGGAGAAAACCTTTGGAGTTTCAGGTGAGTGATCATGTGTTTTTGAAAGTTTCACCTGTAACTGGAGTTGGAAGAGCTCTAAAATTCAAAAAGTTATCTCCTAAGTTTATTGGGCCATTTGAAGTGCTAAGTAAAGTTGGTCCTGTTGCTTATGAAATTACTTTGCCTCCAAATCTCTCAAACTTGCATCCTGTATTCCATGTATCTCAGCTCAGAAAGTATATTCCTGACCCTACTCATGTGATAGAACTTGATCCTGTTCAAGTGAGAGAGAATTTGTCATATGATGTACAACCGGTGAAAATTGTTGATCGTCGTGTTAAGAAATTAAGGGGTAAGGAGATTTCACTTGTTAAAGTAATATGGAATACTAGTGATGAAAGAGATGCCACGTGGGAAGTTGAGAATAAGATGAGAAAATTATATCCTGATCTTTTTGTAACTTAGCGAATTTCGGGGACAAAATTCCTTAAAGGAGGGGAGAATTGTAACATCCTATGCTTTGTGTCATGCCTATAGTATATCATTGAGAAAAATCTATAGTACTTTGTGAGCAGAAAGAAACCGTGTATGTACAGTAGCCCCTGATGTCAACAATGATATCATGCTGATGTCATCGGCGACATCACGCTGACATCATCACTTATGTCATTGGTGATCTCACGTTGACATCACCGGTGACATCACGTTGACATCATCGCTTGCATCATGCTGACATCATCGCTTACATCACATTGACGCTGACATCTTCAAAAAATTTTCTATAAATAGGGGGCTTCACATGAAATTTTTATTTCTTCACTCCTACCCAAGGTTCTCGAAGGTTCTAAGGTCATATCTCGCCATTTTTTCCCATACTAAACCTCCTAAACTTAGATTTTTTTTCAGATCTGTGATTCTACGTCCGTTCTAAAGCATTTCAAGTAAGTTTCTCTAAGTTTGAAGTTAGATTTACCGTTCGTTTCTCTTTTTCTTCTTTTTCTTATAGATGTTCATGATATTCTTAGGAAAAACTCCGTTCTAGAGTTAAATCTTCGGTTAAATCCTTGTAAAGGCTCTGTTTTGAGGTAAGGGGGGCTCTACTTTATCATTTTGTTATGTTTATTACTTGTATTCTGATAGATCTTGTCATGTATGTGATTATATGTGGAATAATCCTTATTTTATGAAAAAAAATCAGTGAAAAGTGAGAATAATTGGCTGTTTATGTAATTTATGATGAATACATGGTGAAAATGTAATATTATGTCCAAATAAGGCATGATAAGGTATATTGAGGATGGTTGATATGATTATATGATTTTGTGATATGAAATATACAAAGAGATGGATGTTTCATGTTTGAATATATTGTTTCATGTAAAAATGATGTGTATTGTTAATATGCCATGGTTTGATGTATATGATGAAAAGTATGTGGAAATATCATGAAAAATATGTGTGAACATGAGAAATGGCATATATGAACATGTGAATATACTCGCAAGAGTATGAGATGAAAAAAGATATGATGTAAATAGTTACAGAGATACACTGGGGAGTGGAAGATGGAGACGATATGGGATATCTTGGGAAAATGCAGGGTGGTAAGTGACATTCAGGATTGTGCACGAAATATTGTGTTTGAATGCACCACATGGCCACACACTCGTTTCCCGACTTGACTCCTGACCATTACCTTTGCTAAGGGGTCGTCTATTGCATACGTTGTATCCGTATTGCATTGGGCCATCCGGTGACTATTTACATGGATGTGTAAGACCTCGAGATAGAGGCATCGGATAACTGTGGCCACAGGGCGCGGTAAGCGTGGATAAAAATAAAAGAAATTGTGAATTTGTGTAATGTAATACGCATTGAGATGAGAATATGTTTTATATGACACTGTGATATGTAATGTCATGATGTTTTCTTTAATCATGATAAGATGTGTTTTGTGAAGAATGTATATGTTATGTATAAGTGGTAGGGTAGAAACTCACCCTTACACAATATTTTTTAGGAAACCAGGATGAATAGTACCAGGCTCACAGTGCATCGATGGATAAGAACTGCTACAGGACTTAGTTATTTTGAGTTATGTAATGAATATTTTCAGTTCTATAGCATTCTTTTGAAACAGTTGTAAAACTACTATTTCTTTTTATTGCTGATGAAAATTCTAGAATCTTTGTTTTTCTAAAGTACTTATGAATTAATGAAATTTTACTCTATGAACCTTATATCATTTCAATGTCTCTTTCTTATTAGAGAATTTTGAAAGAAATTTACTTTACCATTTAAATTTTTATGAAAATTTATCATATATTGAGGAAAGAAATATAAGGCATTACAAACCCACAGAGGCAATTAATTTAGGGACTGAAGATGATAAGAGAGAAATATAGGAACCCTCATGAAAAAACAAGAGCGTGACAAGTTGATTAAACTCTTGCATGATTATAGTGATGTCTTTGCATGGTCTTATCAAGATATGCTAGGCCTAGATGTGGATATAGTTGAGCATAAATTGCTGTTGAAGCCAGAGTGTATTCCAGTTAAACAGAAATTAAGGAGAATGAGACCTGAGATGTCATTGAAAATTAGGGAGGAGGTTAAGAAGCAATTTGATGCAGGTTTCCTTGCTGTTGCCAAATACCCCCAATGGGTGGCCAACATTGTGCTAGTTCCTAAGAAAGATGGAAATGTTCGGATGTGTGTTGACTATCGAGATTAAAATAGAGCCAGCCCTAAAGACGATTTTCCATTACCTCACATTGATATGCTAGTAGATAATACAGCTCAACATTTGTTCTTCTCTTTCATGGATGGTTACTCAGGTTATAATCAGATCAAAATGGCTGAAGAGGATATGGAGAAGACCACGTTCATTACACCTTTGGGTACCTTTTGCTACAAGGTCATGTCTTTCGGTTTGAAAAATACTGGGGCAACATATCAAAGGGTGATGGTGACGTTATTTCATGATATTATGCACAAGGAGGTTGAAGTCTATGTGGATGATATGATTGCTAAATCAAGGACCGAAGAAGACCATGTTGTAAATTTACACAAATTGTTTGAGCGGTTGAGGAAATTCAAATTGCAATTGAACCCTGCCAAATGTACCTTTGGGGTAAAATCAGACAAGTTGTTGGGATTCATAGTTAGTCAAAAGGGAATAGAGGTTGATCCTGACAAGGCAAAAGCAATCATTGACATGCCGCCTCCCCGCACTGAAAGGAGGTTCGTGGATTTTTGGGGAGACTAAATTATATTGCTCGATTCATATGCCAGCTAACTGCCACTTGTGAACCAATTTTTAAGTTGTTACGGAAAAATCAGCCGATGGAATGAAATGGAGATTGCTAAGAAGCTTTTGAGAAGATAAAGCAGTATTTACTAAATCCTCTGATATTAGTGCTGCCAGTGCTAGGGAGACCGCTTATTATATATTTGACAGTGTTAGAAGGATCCATGGGATGTGTTTTAGGTCAGCATGATGAATCGAGTCAAAAAGAGCATGCCATTTATTATTTGAGCAAGAAATTCACTGATTATGAAGCTAGATACTCTTTATTGGAGTGAACCTATTGTGCCTTGGCTTGGACAGCTCGCAGGTTAAGGCAATATATGTTGAGTCACACGACTTGGTTGGTGTCAAAAATGGACCCAATCAAATACATCTTTGAGAAACCAGCCCTTACTGGAAGGATTGCTTGTTGGCAGGTCCTATTGTTAGAATATGATATTATGTATGTTACTCAAAAAGCAATCAAAGGCAGTGCTCTCGCAGATTTCATAGCTCATCAATCAGTGAATGATTATCAGTCAATAAAGTACGAATTTCCTGATGAAAATATAATGGCATTGTATAATGAGAACGAATCTTCAACAAAAGATGAATGGGTCATGATGTTTGATGGTACTTCTAATGCACTCGGACACGGGATTGGTGCTATATTGATTTCCCCAGAGAAGCAATACATCCCGATCACAGCTAGATTATCATTCGATTGTACGAATAATATAGCTGAATATAAAGCATGTGCTATGGGAATTCAAGCAGTTATAGAGTCTAAGATCAAAATTCTTGAGGTGTATAGTGACTCAGCTTTGGTCATCCACCAGCTGAAAGGTGAATGAGAGACTCGCGATGCCAAATCGATCCCTTATCAAGCCTATATCAGAGAGTTGGTGGAGTATTTCGATAAAATTACTTTCCAACATATTCCTCGTAAGGAGAATCAATTGGCTGATGTTTTAGCCACTTTATCATTAATGTTTGTAGTGAGTCAAAAAGAAGACATGTCGTTCATAAAGATGCAACAACTTGATCATTCTGCCTATTGTCAAAAGGTTGAAAAAGAATCCGATGGTAAACCTTGGTAACATGACATTAAAAATTTCCTAAAACACCAAGAATACTCTTTAAATGCTGTTGAAAATGACAAAAGGACATTAAGGAGGTTAGCAATGAGTTTCTTTCTGAATGGAGATGTGCTCTACAAAAGGAATCATCATATGATTCTGCTTAGATGTGTGGATGCTTCAGAAGCACGAAAGATCATGGAAGAGATTCATGAAGGTTCATTTGGGACTCATGCCAATGGACATGCCATGGCAAAGAAGATTCTAAGGGCTGGATATTATTGGTTGACAATGGAGGCCGATTACTTTCGGTATGTGAAGACATGTCATAAATGTCAGACATATGCTGACAATATTAATGTTCCCCCAACAAATTTGAATGTCTTATCATCGCCCTGGCCTTTGTCAATATGGGGAATTGATGTTATTAGAGCCATTAAGCCTAAAGCCTCTAATGGTCAACGCTTCATTTTAGTTGCTATTGACTATTTCACAAAATAGGTTGAGGCTGCCTCATATGCTAGTGTGACCCGAAATGTGGTGGTGAGATTCATTAAAAAGGATTTGATTTGTCGGTATAGCCTCCCAAGCAAGTTGATAACAGACAATGGCACTAATCTGAACAACAAAATGATGACAAAATTGTGTGACAATTTCAATATTTGACATCATAATTCTTCCCCCTATAGCCCAAAGATGAATGGAGCAGTTGAAGCTGCCAATAAAAAAATTAAAAAGATCATCCAAAAGATGGTAGTGACATATAGAGATTGGCATGAAATACTGCCATTTGCCTTGCATGGATACCGAACTTCAGTTCCTACTTCAACTGGGGCAACTCCATACTCTTTGGTATACGAAACGGAAGCAGTACATCCTATTGAGGTTGAAATTCCCTCTTTAAGATTAATAATGGAGACCAAATTGGAGGAAGCAGAATGGGTACAATCTCGTTTTGATTAATTGAATCTCATTGAAGGAAAACGGTTGAATACGTTATATCACGATCAACTATACTAGAGAAGGATGAAGAAGTCTTTTGATAAAAAGGTTCGTCCAAGAGAATTCGGTGAGGGAGATATGGTGCTCAAAAAGAT